TCCATGGGCTGTTAGCTCCTGGCGTCTTCTTCGGGTTTCATATACATTTTTCTGACAGTTGTGTAGTATTTCTGGATAAATATTTCTTTGGGTTTGTGGTATATGACTGGGATTTTTCTTAGTTTTAGTAAAATTCAAATGTTCTTCTGTATGTGTGTGTTTTTGTTCATTTCCATGGCTTAGAAGTGGAAAACATATGGTGTGCATGCCAACATCTTTTCAGAAGTCTGTCAATATATGATTCATACTTGAATCTTTTGTGAGATTTAGTATGATAAAAATAACTCAGAGTGGAATGTAAAGAAAAGAATAAAAAGGCTTCATGAAAAATATTAATAATTATCAATATGCTGCTATTATATATAGAGAGGATGCCAAACAATGTATGCACATTTTAAGAAAGGAAAAAATATGTATGAAATTTGTAATACCAAAGTCACATTTGACTTCTGCAATTACAAGAGGTGTTCAATGTGACTTGTGTTTATCTTTTGTTATTGGTGTGTATTGAACATTACAATTTTAATGTAGTTTTTTCTTCTTAAAATGTATATACATTTTTGCATCCTCTGTCTTAGGCAAACATATGTATATTCACTCCTCATGTCTTTCTTGAGCTTCAGATTACATTTCCAACTGAATAGCTGCATAAGTCCCCAAACTTAGTACTATCTCTATCAACATTTAACCTAGATGGTGAAATGGAGCTTAACATTAAGAGCCAGGCTGCACACAACCACTTACAAATCATTTGGAAGAAAATCAGTTGAAGCTGTTCGCCTCTTACCCAATTACTTGTAAATTAGGGCAAATTGGAAACAGAAGAGCATTTTGGGAATTAGCTCTGCTGAGGCAGAGGTGAGAGGGCTTTCCTTTCATCTCAACCTAAGGAAAGAGGCTGAAGTGGGACCACTCGGAAATCGCAATTTGCATCTCTTATAATTTTGGAGACACAGAGGATGGACCTGTAGCTAATTTGTGGGAAGAGACTGTTGGGCTAGCTGCTCCATATCTAATGGATGGCCACCCTGGACATAGTCTGTCCTTCAAATCTGTTGGGGCAAAGAATGTCTAAGAGCTTTTGTGGGCTAGATGTGGGTGGCACGAGAAAGCAGTAGAAATGACCAGCTGAAGCAGACTGGGGTTCTAGAAGCAGACTGGGCAGGCAAAGGTTCTAGAAGAAAATAGGAGCATGTGGAGTATTGAGAAATGAGTAATGAAAGCACAGGTTGAGACCCACAGATGAGACATTTAGAAATTAAATATCCTCAAGACTTGACCCCTACCTTTGCATTTCTGATCACCTTTACTTTGCTCCACTTAATTTTCCTAGTATTTTGTTTCCAGCATCCCATAAGACTTTCATATCAATTATCATTATTTATTGTCTAGGCTATAAGCTTCTTGAGAGCAGAGATCTTTGTATATATTGTTCGCTGAGGAACAGAATAGTACTTGGGTCATGATAGGGGCTATAAAACATACTTGTTGACTTTGAATGGGAATTAAATTTGCCTCTCTAAAAACCAGTGAAACCACCAAAGAAAGTTGGCATTAAATACCTTCCATGCCCTGAGAGCTCTGGGGTTCAAGCATCATGATCTACTGCCAGTCCAGAGAGACGGATCACCCCCTCTGACCCCCACTTTCTGTTCCCTCCCCCACACTGACTGACAACTCTGAAGTGGCCAGAGGTACTCTTCGTCAGTGGGAAACCAGGAATAAAAATCCAGAAAGGGTTTATATAGGAGAAACTGATCCCTTTCTTACTAAAGACAGCCTACCCAAGGAAATTCAGAGCCAGAAGAGAGTGAAGATGTAATTGTAAATAAAATTCAGAGTTTTATTATTAGAACTTCATTGGACTGAACATATTAAAAAGGCTGATGGCTCAGAAACTAGAAGGAACTGGAGAAAACATTAAATTATCTCATGTAGATCTAAAAAGCCATGAAGACTGCTGACAATTTCATTCAAATGCATCAAGACCTTTGAGCAGACAGTTTTCTGGTAACGTTCCACAAGTTCCACCTGTTTTCCAGACCATATGTGTTGGCATCTTAAAAGCACTCATTTTCTTCTTCTCACTTGTAGCACTTTCCCTACTGTCAAACTTCTGTCTCTTCTTAAGGACAGACATGTTTGGGACTATTTCTTCTACAGTAACACAGGCAACCCAAGTCCAAAGTCTGTTTCTAACAGCTCCCACATTCTAGTGTATTGTAACTTGCCTAACACCTATTAAACACTTAATAAATGTTTGATGAGTGAATGAATGAATAAGTGACAGGATATACTGAGATCATAAAACTCTAAAGTCAGCAAGAAGGACAAAATGCTTAGTTTGAAGTGTGTGCCAGTTAAAATTAGGTACATGTGCATCTGATGAATACTCAATAAGAGTCGAATCAAGTTTTCTTGAATGAATGAATGAATGCGTGCTAACGGATAAATATGTGACCAAATGGCTACATATACATAAACAAAGTAAAAAGAGAGAGTGCAAGGTTATTGGTTTATTTGTTCCATATAAAATAGATTTGTACATTTGTCCCTGTTTCTTTTTTGTTTTTAGGTGATTCTTGTCTTTTTACTAAGCATTGGGTCTCTCATAATCTATTTCATCAATTCTACTGAGTAAGTAAAATCCCCAGGCTCCCTTGTGTGCGCTACCAGTAAGTTGCTAATTTGGAATTTGGAATTTTCTTCTCAGTAATAATGTTTAATGCACTTAATATACTCTCTCTCTCACACACACACACACACACATACACACACACACACTCACACACACAATCTGATAAAAAATGATGTTTAGTCCCACCTAATAAGCATGAAGACCAACTGGGGCAAATATGCAAGAATTGCCCCTACTTTTTGACCCCTGCTTCATGAGGGGATGGAAGTGGTGTGCACAGATCTGCTCTGGAGTTTCAGGGGTGGCACAGCTGGAGAGCTGTCCTCTCCTCGCCTGGGCCACTTATTAAGGCTTCACATGCCTCTGGATCCCCTAGTTGTTGAGCAAGCAGTTCTGTCACAGCTTCAGGGTTTTTCAAACCCTGAAAGTCACAAAACAACATTGGGTGGTCTTAAGAAAGGTAAATGCTAGACCCCAACCTATGATAAAGAAGCAGATGGTTGTCCATTCTCCTCTGAAGGTATCCCCTTCCCATATCACAGGGTCATGAAAGTTTTTGTGGACAAAATCAATCTGAACTGGAATTCCATGCCAATCATCTGGAAATTATATTGAATTTTCAGCAAAAATAAAATTGGACTTTTAGGGCCACAAAACCAGGCAATTTTAGGGATCCTAGGGAAGCTGATAATCTTTGCTTTGTAAATTCTTAACAAATCGTGTAGGAAATTTTCTTTAAATTTGGATCAAGTTAGTCTATTTAACCTGAAGTAACTCTATATCAGAAGAGTATAGAAGCCCAAGTATCCTGAATGGATGGATGGTCTCATGCACCAAGAAGAGCCTCATAATCTCTGTGCTCTGAATTCCCATTGACATAATGTTAATTGAACCAATAAACCCTCTGAAAGAAATGGCAGGCAATTTTCCTGTTATTTTCGTTGTCATGGGCAGTCCATTGGTTTTATTCATACATTCCTCTACTCTGAAGAGAAAAGTCATTCTTTTCTCAAAGTTTCTCTTGAGATCCAAGATTAGGTATCTGGATTTATGGTGAATAAATAGAAAATGACCCTTTCTTTCCCCATTATTTGATCCTATATAGATGTTGGTTTTAAAATGTTCATCTTGACAGACGGCTCTTGTTTCTTTTCCAGCCCTGTTGGAAGATGTGCATCGTACGAGGACAATACCATCCCCATTGATTTGATATTCAATGCTTTCTTTAGTTTCTATTTTGGGTTGAGAGTAAGTACCTAGTGAAAGGGGTATCCACACTCAGACAACACCGGTGCAACCTACACAGGCCTACATGCTTTCCCTTAGTTCTACAACTTGCCTAAGATTTTAGATTTTTAAGATAGAGGGTCTGTGGCTTGGCGCCTGTGGCTCAGGTGGCTAAAGTGCCAGCCACATACACCTGGGGTGGCAGGTTCGAATCCAGCCTGGGCCCACCAAACAACAATGATGGCTGAAACCAAAAAATAGCCGGGCGTTGTGGCGGGCGCCTGTGGTCCCAGCTACTTGGGAAGTGGAGGCAGGAGACTCACTTGAGCCCAGGAGTTAGAGGTTGCTGTGAGCTGTGATGTCATAGTGCTCTACCCAGGGGGACAGCTTGAGGCTCTGTCTCAAAAAAAAAAAAAAAAAGATAGAGGGTCTGTGCCCCAAATTGTTAAATATATAACAAGACCTAAAAATGTTTGCTCCTGTACTTGAACTGTAAACCAGATCAAAAGTTCTGACACAAAATGAAAATGATTTCTTTGTTAGGTAACATCACCCTGTTGCAATGACGTCCTTAATGATTTCCCACCTACCACTAAGAAAGCTTTAGTGACAACCACAAGTTAGCACTACTTAAGTGACAGGTCTCTGGAAGTGTGCTTGGCTCCACTGATGGCCTAAGTGACATATAACCACATAAAAACATTTGTAGCTTTGCTTCACTTTTGCATACTCATTCATTAAATAGTTCCCTCATTCCATAAGCATTTATCAAGTACCTATCCTAGATCAAGATTTCAATGTGTTTATTCACCCCATATTTGTAAGAGATGGTATACACACACACACACACACGTTATAGAGGGCAAGTGTGGTGGCTCAGGCCTATAATCTCAGCATTTTGAGAGGCCAGACAAAGGGTCACTTGATGTCAGAAGATTGAGAGCAGGCTGGGCAATATAGAAAGACCCTGTCTCCACAAAAAATAGAAAAACTAGTGAGGCATGTGGTGTTTGTACATTTACAGAACCAGCCACTCTGGAGGCTGAGGATACCTTAAGCCCAAGAGGTCAAGGTAGCAGTGCACTATGATAACACCACTGTACTCTAGCAGTGAAAGAGTGAGACCCTGTTTCAAGAAAAAAGGTGGATATATAAAAAAGATACTTCTTTTAAATATATACACACATACAGATACACATTCATGTGTATGACATGTATTTCTCTGCCTTTCCTTTAAAACTTACTCCTCCATATTGATCATCAAAATCATTTTGCAGCAGGTCTCACCTTTCTGGAAATGCCTGATTTTTAATCTAAATAGGAAGCTCATAAACATAGGCCTTGGGGAGCCAAGTTTGGAGAGCTATACCTTTTCCATTGGAGGCCATTCCAAATCATGTATCTTCATTGCTCATGTGTAGAGGGCTTTGTGTTTATAATTGTTTTTATCAGAAAGCTCTAGAAGCAGCAGGAAGGGTAAGTGTCTGCTTGGACAGGCATGAAAGTTAAGTTCTGGTGAGTGACATGAGTTTATATTCATTTATTGAACACCCATAAAAGGTACAATCTGAGCATTCATAAAAATACCTGTGCATCTATATATCTACATATGTAAATATATGCATGTTTGTATACATGTAAAATAGAACAATCAAGGCTTTAGTTGATAAACAAAATGTAGCTGAATAATGCCACCCCTCGGGCTTACTCTGAAATTCTTGAGGGTAACAGCATTTTGGGCGTTCTGTTTCCATTTCGTAGTTTTTGGCAGCTGATAACAAGATCAAGTTCTGGTTGGAGTTGAATTCCATTGTTGACATCTTTACCGTCCCACCGACCTTTATTTCTTTTTATCTGAAGAGTAACTGGCTGGGTGAGTGTGCCATAGGAAAAAGGAGCAACATCTAAAACAAAACAAAACAAAAACTCAACATTGGCTTATGAGAAACTATCTTTCATTTTACTTTAGTGCCTGACTATCATGTTTAAAATTTTCCTCCTTAATTATATGATTTTATCGTGTATGTCTAGTAAACCATCTTTGGGCCTCAGCACTGGCCAAAGCACCTGGGTATGCAGTCAGCACTTAATAGTTGCTGATGGAAGGGCTATCTCCGCAGTCTGAGAGGCAAGGTTCTGACATCTCATTCCCCTGTGGCACTTGCATGCTGAGATTTCACAGAGACTGAGGGAGATAGAGAACCTCTTTTGGTCTTTAAAAACTAATCACCATAGCCATGCCTGCAGTGTCATGTTAGAGAATTATTCAATCAGTTTTTTTTTTTGTCTTTAAGGTGGATATGCAGACAGTGCATGGACACTACATATTTTTAATTGTTTGTTATGTAATTTTTATATTATGAACTATAAAATAAATGTTAGTTCTATTCCTTATTATTATCAAGCTCTGTGAAGTAAAACAGCAAACAAGCATTGAGGGGAGAGAGTATTTTAGAGATTATATAGTCAGGAGTTTAAGTGGTTCATGGAAACCATTTTCCCTCAAGTCTAAAGAGAGAAAGAGGAGGTAGAGAAAAAATGAATAGTTCTTATTACATGGGTTACTACAAAAGTTTTGAGACAGTCTTTGTTATCTCATTTCACTTGCAAGAAACAGTCCAATGTCCTTTCCGATTTGCCTGGGCTAGTTTCAACTTGCTCAGCTTATCAGTGTTGCTGGGGAGGCTCATTTGTTTCCATCCTCATGGATTTTAAGTCGCTTGATTCTTGTGTATCTTGAAACTTCTGTAATGACCCACATATATGTGAGACATCCTCCTTCAGGCTTTCTCACAACACTACAACACTACTATGAGGTTGGTGTTACTTATTATAAGCTCCATTTTACAGATGAGGAAATAGAGGAGGGAAGGGGATTGATTGCCTTTGATTACAACAGCTATAAAGTGTCAAGGGAAGCATTTGAAGTACAGCTCATGCTCTTAAACCTATGATGTTATAATAATTATGTGGGGGCACTTCAGGCAGTAAAAGGATGTAAGCAACCCCAGGGGTGTTCTAATTCAGCCTCCACTCTGGATGACCCTCTTCTGTTGGTGGCTTTCTGCTTTCCACTGTTTTGTAGGTTTAAGGTTCCTAAGAGCACTACGGCTGCTGGAACTCCCTCAAATCATGCAAATTCTAGGCGCCCTCAAGACCAGGTAAACTCTAGTTCCATGTGAAGTCCTGCTTATTTACTTGTTTGTCAACTGAACCTTTAATTTAGCTTGTTTTCCATCTTAATTTCAGCGTAAAAATTATAAAATCCTTCAGCTCCCAGGATAATATTCATTCATTATCTCCCATTATATTACACCACACATTGGCTGAAACCTTTGTAATCATTTTAAAGAGTTGTGTTTATTCTTTGTTTCATAAAGCTATGATGTGTGAGTCCATTTTGGTTTAAATTCTGGGGCCCTCCACCAAATCTTGACTGGGCCCCGGTCAAAGAAATTCAGAGGATTTTGTTCTACTTATTTGCCTAAATGAATCATGTCTCCCCTAAAGAATTATTTCGTCAGGTTTTGGACATTTAATCTGAGCGGGTTACTAGGAAAGTTTTGAGACAGACAGTGTAACAACATTCTTTCTGAATCATCCAGGCAAGTTTCAACTTACCTGGCTTATCCGTGTTGCTAGGAGGCCTTCATTGGTTTCTATCCATACAAATATGCCTTTCTTGACTTTTGTGTATCTCAAAATTTTCATATACCCACATGTAAGAGTTATTGCTTGTAGAAGAAGTCACTTAAATATCTCCAAGAAACAATAAAAATCTAAACTGCCTTCGAGCAGTAATACTTGTGACACTTTAAGCAGTTTCCTCTGTCACCCATGCATAATGTCCATGCTTTTACATTCTCACTGGAAGCATCAAATATTAGAGGCCAGATGAATTTCATCACTGCTTATGCATTATGGAGAAGTGGGGTGGGAAAAGCTCTTCTTATGTGA